GTTCTATGGTTGGTTCTACTCTCTTGAAGTCAAACTTCCTAAAAACTAAAATACATATACTAAGTTTGTTAATTCCTTTCTCTCAACAGAAAAAAAACTTAGTGTATTTCTTTTGATATTGGTAACTTTCCATTTTTCCTGTGTTTTGTTCAACATTTTATTCCACGTATTATAGAAAACCATTGTCAAAGAACCTAGGAATGAGGAAATAGCAACATAAATGTCTACTACTACAACTGCCCACAGAAGAATCACAATAGTCATTTACGCATATCATGCAAAGGAAACAAACATCTCAATGTAAATACTGAAAAATGCTACCAAAAATTGTGTTAGAATAATCGTTTGAAAATCTTCTTTAGAAGTATTAAAAAAAAAAAACACTTGGAGCCTGCTTTTATTTTTATAAAAGGGTAAATAAAATTGAAAAATCAGAATTAAGGTGTTCTACTAATTTCTATAATCTTGTAATTTTTACTTAAACTCTAACCCTTACCGATTCAACAGAGACTGGAGTATAAAACAAGATGCTAGGCTATTTTACCTAGCTCCTTTTTTAACTCTATCTTCTTCTCAATCTATGAAACTATTCAAAAGTACTGTACTGGGTCCACCAAGAAAAATAATGTAAAATAAAATTTCTAACAAAAAAAAAAATAAAAAGGTTTTTATCAAAGATTGGAAGCACAACAGAAAAAGTTAGTCACTGCTGCTCAAGATGTGCTGTTTTGGTCAGAAATATCTAAACTATAGTTCCATAAAGCTTTCAGGTCATTGTATCCTCCAGAAACACATATGATTTTAAAAAGGAATATCGTAGAACTTAAAGTCATCTTTGAAATCAATGAGTTGAAGCTTTTCATGTTACATACAAATAAAATTTCATCTAAAAAAATCAGCTTATTTTTTATTATCTACTATTCCAGGATCTACTTCTCTTGGGTGCTTCTAAACGCAAAGAAAAAACCATCAAGATCCAAATACTCAACAAAGAGCAAGCCATTTCTGTACATGACAGGGGTGGGTGCATTTTTTCTGTAAAGGGCCAGACAGTAAATAACTTTGGGCTTTGCTAGCCATGCGGTCTTCATTACAACTACTCAACTCGGCCAATGTAGCGCAAAAGCAGCCATAGACAATACATATAACTTTATTTATTAAAATGGGCAAAAGGCTGGATTTGGCCCACAAGCCTTAGTTTGCTGATTCCTGGTGTAAGGGTTTTTTTCTTTATAAAAATTTTTATAAAAATTGTCCTTTGATCAATATTATAAAAGCTAGAGAATTTATGATGATTCAGGAGAGAAAATATGCCACAATACTTACTTTGTGAATATTCTTCTCCCATCTGTGGTGGATACTCTTCATCCCAATCAACCACATCATCGTCTGTAAGCACCACTATGTGGCATTCACGTTCCCCACTCTGGGCACTAGCTACCATGAGAGGCAGGATCATTTCTTCTAGATAAAATTCAAACTGTTTACGAGCACCATCATTTGATAACTCATGCATTAGGGCACCTGAAATGAAACCCCCCCAAAAATCTTGATTTTTTTGGATGACTGATAAGAGCAGAAACAACAGACAAATAAAACATCAGATTAGTTCAGCATCTACTTTGGGACCCTGTAAACAATATAATGGTTATTCTTTAGTCAACAAAACTTTTCTCAGGAGGAGTTCTTATGGAACTGTAGAATCTTACAGCAAGAAGGGCCAATTAAAGTCATCCAACACAAGCTCCTTTGTTTTACACATCATAAAGCAATCTACCAAAGGTTAAAAAACTAATTTGCAAAATCAGAATTAAAACTACCCTCCTACTCCATCTCTAGTCCAGGGTTTTTTTTTTTCTTCACTATATCATGTTGTCTTCTATCAATATATGCAGTTATATCTTAAAGTATATCCTAAGGATATTTTTTCAGATTATCTATATGAAATAAAATAGCTCCCATATTCCATCTTCCACATGTTTTCCTTCTCAGAAAATTATTTAAAAACAACATTAATATTTCAGTGTAGGAAAAAGGGTAGGATGAACTGAGTCAACCGACTTTGGAAAAACAGTGGCAAAAGGCCAAGCAAAATACAGCACAGTACAGGAATTATATTGCTGACGTGACCCTAGAATTGAGAGGAATGGAAGATACACTTCACTTGACCCTTCTTAAGTCCAGACATAATGAACAACTTTAACTTCCCAAATACACAGCCTCACCTACGTTGACCTAATCATTTTTCTTTTTATTCTTATTTCAACAGCAATGTCCTATCTCCTATCTAAGGCTCTACCACCTCAGGAACTACTAGGAGGGTCAGAAAAGGACACCAAAACTCAAAACCACAGTCTCACAAAGGAGAGCTTTCTTCTCCTTACACTATGTTGTCTAATTATAGAATAATTATTAACAACATAATAAATAATTAAATAACAATCTGTATTATTATTATTTAGCCCTCTGCTTCTCTAGGACTGTTTCCATTAGGATTTTTTAAATTTAAATTCCCTTCATAGCCAAACTTCTAGATATATAAACACATTTTCTTTCCCCTAACTTCTGAACCAATTCCAATCTGACTTCCATACTCACTACTCAAAACTGCCCTCAATAGAGTCTGAAAATGACCTTTAAATTGTTAAAGACGATGAACATCGTTTGATCCCGATTTTATTTAACCTCTCAATGGAATCTCTTACAGGGACCACTCCCTCCTTACATATTCTCATCTCTAAGAATCTGATACCATTATCCCTGGTGTTCTTTCTCCTCTCTGGCCATTCTATTTCAGTCACCTTTGTCAACTCTTTCTCCTCTAGCTGTTCATTAAATATTGGTATTTTTCAGAAAAAAAATGTTAAGTTCTTTTCTTCTCTCACCTTATGCTGACAATTCCCAATTTATTCTACTAATTCTGCCTTCTATATTCTAGATGCACTACAGTCAACTGCCTCCTGGAAATCTTCACTAGGATGCCCCCTCAAAGGCACCTCGAACTCAACATATCCAAAACTGAACTTAATCATTTCTGTCTCACTCTGCAGTGCTTTCCAAACCAATAAATCGCATCACCATCCACTCAAGTTCTCAGAATCATCGCAGAAGAGTGCTAGTCATATGACAGGCTCTTAAATTTTTGTAGAATAAATGAATGAATCCTTGATTCCTCTTTCATCTCAATTCAATCATTCCCAAGCTCTATGAAGTCCACCTCTTAAATACAAGTTGAATTGTGTCATTTCTTTCCCTGGAAGATGCTATTTTCCAAAGATAGCTTCAAAATCTCCTTTGTCACACACTTTCCTGCAATGTGACCCTGACTTCTCCTCACAGAAGTCCAATTCCTCTCTCCTTTAATCTAGCCTGGTCGTACTAACTTGCTTGTAACCAGGGGAATGCAGCAGAGGTGAGGGATATGTAACTTATGGTTCTGCCTCAGTCTTGGGAATGCTCGCTCTCCAAATGCTTCCTCTCTGAACCCAGTCTCCAGGCTTGAAGAAGCCCAAGCCACATGAAGAGGTCATATGTAGGTAGGTACTCTGTCTGACAGTCCTAGCCGAAACCAGCCTTTGAGTCATCCTAGTCTAAGGTGCACACATGTGAGTGAAGAAGTCTTAAACCTTCTGAGTCACCTCAGCCCTTCAATCCTTCACGAGATGAGGCCTCACATATTATGAAGCAGACATAAGACACCTCTGTTGTACCTTGTCTGAATTCTCAACACACAAAATAAAGATTATTTTATGCCACTAAGTTTGGAATGGACTATTACATAACAATAGTTAACCAAAACTCATTCCATCCTCATTTCCCCCACCATAGTCCAAATCATCAACTCTCACCCAAACTACTGTAAACTTTCTAATTATATTCCCATCATTTGCTTTTGCCCCTGTGTAATTCATTTTCCCCACAGCAGCCAAATCTAATAGGTGTCTCTTGTTTAAACCTTCCATGCCATTCTATCCTTAGAATAAAAGTCCTTAACTTGGTTAAGCCTGTTATGTGAAAAGAGGGGTTACAGATCAATGTGTACAGTCCTTAAAATATTTTTTCTTTGAGTACTACCCATATAATTATAACTCCTATATATAAATAACTGGCCCACATCTTTCTCTTCAATTTTAGACATGTATGCCCAATGCCCCACTCAGCAATTCCACTTGGATGTCTAATAGATATTTCAAACTTAACATATCCAAAATCAAGCTTTTAGATTTCTGCTCCCCATGAGGTCTCCTCCATCTCAATTAATGGCAACTCCACACTTCTAATTAAAGTCCTCTTCTCTCTTTCCCACCCCATATTCAATCAACGAGCAAATCTTTGCCTGGAAAGGGAATGTGAATAATGAGGAAATTATAGCCTATCTGGGGAGCTACTACCTACCAGTCCCTTCACTATATGGTAGGGTCTATGAAAGAAGATTAAGAAGTCATTTCTATGTATTCTTTACTACCTATGTCTCCTCTGAACTCTTTCCCAATCCTACTAACCCACAATGACATCTCCTTCTTAACTTTTCCAGCCACTTAAAATCCAAGTCACCGTTTGATAATTCTCATACACATTTTTACTTTTCTATGTATATAATCACCTTTTCCTCTTAGACATGACATAACAGTGAAAACACGGATGGTTGCTAGGGAAGGGTGTTAGGGAAGGGATGAGAGAAAAATATTAAAGAGTTAGGATTTGCAAAGTTCTAGACTCTGCTCTGAGACTATGTTGTAAGTTCTTGGATGAAGTCATTTAACCTTGTGTATAAATGAGGGCTAGGTATTTGGTATTCATTTTAAGATCTTTAGTGACAAATACTGTTCTTGACAATTATTTGTATCTTCCATAGTGGCACAGGATATTATATTACATCGTAAATACAAAAAAATTATAAATTTTTGGTTGATGTGATCTGAAGAGTGAAGCCAAATATGATATTGGCCAAAGTCACGGCTCTCAAGCTGGGAGATAAAGACTGGCAACAAATGACAGAGGAAACAATTGAAGAGGAAATCTAGAAGAATCTATCTAAAAAAATAAATTTGAAAGAAAGTTTTAGAAAATTGCACTAAGAGCTTATAAAGATCTCTGTGGACTTCCATAAATAATCTTCATGGCATTAGAGTGCTTTACAATTTAACAAATATTTGAAGTCTAGGTAAACAGCACTATTTCAAGCTTTTGATTCCAATATACTGTAACTCTACAGACCACTTACAGACAAAACATCATACTTACTGAGATCTCTACATTTAATAGTACTATATTCAAAAGAGATACAAAGATAGTCACATGCTTCTCTCAGTTCAGGAATAGATATGCCATCAGGACAACGGATTATTCCTGTTTTATAATAGTCCTAAAAAAAAAAAAGTAAAGAATGCATAAAACATCTGGAGTATGAGGTAGCCAAAACTTATTAAAGTTGAACTGGTAAAATTTTCAAAAATAGTGGCGCTCTGAGATTTGCAAACTGTGGAATTTACTTATTGGGACCTCAGTTCACCTAGCTACTTTTTCATTTTCCAAACAAGACAAATTTATGTCCAAATGAGTCCACTGACTCACCCAGTCATAAAATTACTTAACAGCAGGGGTAAGATTAGAACCTGGGTTTCTCCATTACTTATGCATATCTTCTCTCTCCACTATATCATGCTAATTCCTATGTATTTCCCCCTCTACAAGTTGTCTATATAACTACCATACATTTTCTTAACCTTTTAAAAAACTTTATTTATTTATTTATTTATTTATTTATTTATTTATTTATTTATTTTGGGGGGAGGAGGTAATTAGGTTTACTTACTTATTTTTAGAGGAGGTACTGGGGATTGAACCCAGGGTCCTGTGTATGCTAAGCATGTGCTCTACCACTTGAGCTATACCATTCCCACTAAACTTTCTTTTTTTAAGAAAATTAAAGTCACCTTAAATGTTACCTAGAGAACTGAGCAAAATTTAAGATTTTTAATGAAGAACTTCAAAGTCATATCCATGTATTTAAAATATATGCAAACAGAACACACAATTAGATATTCTTCTTCCAAATACTGTTCTTTGGTGTTCCCCATATAATTAAGAACAATCAATGGTAATTATTTCCAAAATCTACTTAAATTGTTGTTAGGGGCTAGCCCCACGGTTACAAAGTTACTCCATCGCTCAGACATAAAATTCTTTCTTGTCAACTCCACGGGGTGTCAAGTGGAAGTATGGGCTGCTGAAAAAGCACTTCCCCCAAAATTAAGATCTGCTTCAAGCTTCTTGAGGTTCAGAGCCACAGTAACACAATTTCTAAAGTTGCTACATAAATGAAAGTAAGACATCTTCTGGTACTTGTCCGAGTGCTAACCACCTGATTGAGATCAACTACTTTTCCTGTCTTGCATCTCAGAATCCTCCCTCTCCTAGTCCCACAAAACTATTTAAGAAAATCATATTTTCACATTGTGGCATAAGCTGTCACATGCTATAAATCAAACTTTTATCACTGATTTAAAATGACAAGTAGGGACTGTAGTACTAATTCAAATATTACTCAAAATGAAAGATTAAACATTTTTTAAAAAGGTTTAAAACATAAATACTAAATACATTTTAGAGGTGATTTTTACATGTTCTTAAGTGTCCATATTGTTAGTGATGTGCAGTAAAACATTAGAATTCCAGTAGCCACATTCATTCTTAGTAGCAAAAAATAATCAACATATTGCATTAAAGAGAATTAAGGAGGGTAGAGTAATACTACAGAAATGTTACTATTAAACCCTTGAAAGGACTGCCTAGGCAGACCTAAGAGATGAATCATCTCCTATCTTAACTTTGCAAAGGTCATAAAATTCTTTTTTTATATCATATATTTATGTACCAAAAAAGATGAATTAAATCATATTTTTACAAAATATCCTGGATACCTCCATAGAGATATCTAACTAAAACTTTGCCTCTAATCCAAGTACCTACCAAAAGAAGTCATTTGATTCAGTCAATACACATAAGGAATAGCACTCACCAGAATAGCTCGAAACACAGTAGATCCAATCCCCTCTGCCACCTCATACTCTCCCTTCTCATTGGGACGTGTAAAGTTATGTTCTCTGCCAGATCCAAACATCCTATGGTAGCAAATAATTGAGAAATACATCAATAGGATACTTGCTTCAAAAGAGAAGATCGATTTCATGTACGAAAGTAAAAAGGAATTATAATTTTGACATTAAATGATGTCATTAAATTAGTCCAAGAAATTTATTCTGGCAAATGTAATAAATTAAGGAATATTAGAAGTATTGCCTTTTTATGGGAGAGAACAGTAGTGTAAATTATCTACAAGCAAACAAAATCAATTAATAAAAGTCAGAAGCTAAGACCTTTCCAGTCCTTTTATCTTGGGGGGGCGGGGAGTAGGGAATCAATCAAGCTAGGGGAAAAGGTGATTCTTCCTCTAATCTTATGAGGGGGAAAAAAAGGGAAAAGGAAAACTATGTTATCTGTGCCTCTTCCTTAAAACTGCTGTCTTCATTGCAAACAATGCCATAATGCAGCACATACAGTAATCTAAACTAGGAAAAAGTAAAACAGTATAGGCAGGTTAGGTTATTTTACTTTTTACAATCTTAACTATAAATGTAACAAATCTTGGTCAAAACTCATAAACTTGCATCCTAGAACTAAAAAATAAGCAATCAAATGCTGGAGTAGAAAGATATGAAGAAGTTAAGAACAGAATGAAAAATTTAAATAAGTAACAAGCTCTTAATTTTTACATAAGGAAGATACAAATGAATTTCTATTTTTTCAAGTTATGTTGCTGGCCCTATAACAGCAAGTACTTAGAAAGGAGGCAATTTGCAATATATGTCCTGCAAAATAAAAAGTTAAATGCATAACCCCCAAGAAAAATTTTAAATTGTGATGAAAGGAAGTTGAACCTCTAAATTCAATATCACCATTCCTAAAGTGAATATGGCTGATTTAAGTTTTCTGTTCAACAATTTTCCAATTTAAATGGCTTCCTCTTTTGTTATAACACAGAACTTATAAAGAACAAAGCTTTTTTATTTCAGTTTCCCCAAAAATGTCAACTGCTTTTTACAGTTTCCATGAATATTAATTTTCATCCCCAAAGATATGATTTTGTCAACTGACATGAAAAGAAGCCTTCACTGATTTGGGGGAAAAAAAGAAGAAGAAAGCCTTTCAGGAATCAAATGTCAAGCAATTTGCTCAAATACTTGAACTTTTTACAAAAGGGGAAAGTCATCTTTTCAGATCCATATGGATCACACATAAAAAAAGTCTTTTAGGTTTTGTTTTGTTTTTAAAGAAAATGTACCCTAACAGCTGAAGCACAATTTCAACTATTACTTCTTAACTACGTTCCTTTAAAGTTTAAGTAAAAATATAAAGTATTATCCACATCAAGTTATCCTCCTAAGAGTTTTTCTATCAATAATCTTCCCCTATGCTAATAATACATAAAAGCCTATAGAGTTCAAGTATTTTTTCTCATAAAGTCTAGTGCCAATGTTAAAAAGAAATATTTATCTACTCAAAATGTATACAGTGTCATACGCTAGCATTTATTCTGTATTCGGAGATACTTAAATATCATACACACACACAGCAATATCCCAAATAGTTACTCATATGCAACCTAGAAAAAAAACACAAGTTTTCCTTTTTTTTTTAACTTCATGTAAATTTCCATTTCATCGATATGTTCCTTTCATTTTATATTAAACAGAAAAAGATGTTAATTTTACAATTAAAAAGATACAAGTTTTGGACACTGAAAAATTAAGTCTATATTCTTAGACTGCAGTTCCTATGACTACAGTCCATATTGCCTACATCATTCCTAGATTGTGGTTCCGATAACCACAAACTTTATATTAATCTATTACTCTAGACTAGCATGGATTAGAAGATAACTATTGTCTCTCCTTCATTCTACTAACTACTTCTTAATAATACTTCTTTAATTATCTACATCAAACTGACAACTCATGATGACTTTTCAGCCAACAAAACTGTTGGGAGTCTTTTCTTTAAACAATTCTTCTATCTGCTGCCTTTGGAGGTTGCATTTAGGAGCCCCAGGTGAAGGAAACATATTATCATTGCTTGTTAGATACAATCTATGTTTTCAACCTGTAGAGATCTTTTAGTATCCTGTCTTCATTAACTAATATATTTGCTATTCCTACTGGTACAGCAATGATCATTAGAAATAAAATCAAATTCAAGATCTAGTTCTACCACTTTCTAGTTGGATTAACTTGAGCAAGTTACTTAACCTCCAAAGCTCAGCATGAACACTACATTCCACCAGAGAGTAACTGTAAAACTTCAAATGGAAAAAATAATGTAAAGGTGCTTTATAATTAATAATACAAAGAAGCACAACAATACAAACCTGCCCAACATTGTGTTTGGCTGTGCAGTAAAAATGGACGGATCTACCACAAATCTAGTGTTATCCACTATTAGCGTCACTCGTTCTGACGTCCTTACATTCCGAGCTCCTTCTTTTGCATTTTCATACACAAATACCATTTCCCCAGATGTCTTACAGCTACCATCTGAACTTGACTGACTACTGTTTCTGCTGCTGTTCCCAGCACTGCTACTGGAACCATTTGGAGATGTTTTTTGCGGGCGAGGACTGCTTGGACGAGAGGAACTGTGATCTTTTTCACGTTCTGAAATAGAGATGTTAAATAAAGTTATACAAATTTTCTTTTAAAAAATTAAAGATCAATATATATCTTTTAAAAACTGATTTAGAAATGTTGTTTTAAATCACAGGACTTCTGCTTTTTGGATTTCAAATAACATTTTCCCAGAACACCATGAAAATTAATTTATTTCCCAGGAATAAAACCTAAAACATCAAATTGTTTCTAAAATAATTAATTTTGTAGACTTTTCTAAAAAGATGTATAACTGATTAACACTGACCCAGAATAAGATCAAAAGTAAGGTAAATTTTATATTATTGCTCTACTTAAAAATATATAGAAACCCACAGAACAGAATATTCTCACAAGTCAAATAAGTAAACATTGAAAGTTAGTAAAAGATTAATAAGAATACCAATTTTAACTGGCCTAAATACTGAAAGTATTAATTCTATTCTGAGAACAAAATACAAACTTTGGACTCTCACTAGGTTAATAAGGAAATCCCCAAACCAACAATTTATCTCACAAAAGGAAGGTCCCAAAGGAAGAAAAAAATTTCACTACAGACAGCATGAAGTATTTATTTTTTCAAATGACTTTTAATGTGTAACAAATTAAGTGGCTTTAACAGCTAATGATATACTGCTTTCCTTTCATTCTCAATTTTGTTGAATAAAGCACTGCTATACATTTTATAGGATCATGTAATGATTATCTATAATTTTAATAGGAAATGTTATTAAAATTCAGAAAATTTTCTTAAGCTGTTCCAATATTCTACAAAGGGAAATTAAAACTATGACTTTGTGATAAGTTTCCTTTAGAGGCTAGATTACTAAACTTTAAAGGTGACCTAAAAATGTACCTCCAACTCATCAGTTTCATCAGCTTTTGCCAAATTCCTCCATGACTCAGGCTGCTCAGAACACTCTGTACAGCGTTACTGGTTATATAATTAGGTTTGCTGTATCTCCAGAGATACTCTGACACCTCTCTTTTACTGCCTATTTCCACAATGCGGGTAGCATCCCAAAAGCAAAAATTTTTTAATTAATAAAATAATTTCTCATATCTCCTATTCTCTTCCCAGACACTAAACTTTGCATATAACTGTCAACTCTTATTTATACTTCTGTTGGTTTTTGGCTTATCAGTTTAGCCTGACTTTAAGAACCTACTTAGATATTGGTCCTTAAATTCCTCTATATAATTAGACCCTAATATAATTGATTTTGATTTATAAAAGGCAATCAAAACTATCTCAAATAGTAAGTCAAAGTATTTAATCTGCCACTTCTGAGAGGAAAATAAAAATCAGCAAGCTCACATTGCTTACATACGTCTGCTTCAGACTGGTGCTTTACAGTCACACAATGTATTTACTTGGAGTACTACCATTCATTTATGGTAATGAGCAGGAAGGAAGAAAAAGCACGAGTAAGAAGAAAATGAGTAGGAAGAAAAGAAAGTCAAGAAAAAAAAAAAAAACCCAAGATGGCAGAGTGGTAGGACCACAAGCTCGCCTCTCCTTGTGACTACAACGAAACCACAACTGAAGGCTAAACAACCTTCGAAAAGAGACTGGAACCTAGCAGAAAAGATCTTCTGCAACTGGAAACATACAGAGGGAACCACAGCAGGATGGTAGGAGGGGCGTGCTTGTGATATAATTGGGCCCCATACCCCTCGGGTGGGCGACCCACAAGCTGAAGATTTGTTAAGTCGCAGAGGCCGTCTCACAGGAGTGAGAGCTCTAAGCCCCACATCAGGCTCCCCAGCTTGGGTCCCAGCATTGAGAAGAGAAGGAGACCCCAGGACATCTGGTTTTGAAGGCTAGGAGGACTTGGCTCTGGGATCCTCACGGGAGTAGGGGAAACAGAGACTCCATTCACTTGGGAAGTGTACACGGAAACTCAAATGCACCAGGTCCAAGGGCAGAGGCAGTGATTTCATAGGAACCTGAGCTAGACCTGCCTGCTGGATTTGGAGGGTCTCCTGGGGGACATGGGGGGAAGCTGCGGCTCACTCAGGGGACATAAAAGCTGGTGCTGGACATTTCAGGAATGATAAGCTACATGACCTTTCCTGGAGGGTGGTATCTTGATTGG